ACAGGTACAAACAGGTTACGCATCATTGAATGCACTGAGGTACAGCCCCTCTATGCATTAGGGTATTGTCTTTCTCCTGGTACAGGTTGGTTCGAACAAACAAGTCCATTCATCATACTGTCTATCCACTGTATTGTCCTTTCATATTGTCTATCCATCATACTGTCTATCCACCGTATTGCCCTTTCATATTGTCTATCCATCATATTGTCCTTTTATACTGTATTTAGGTTAGGTCTGCCTGTTCCTTGTTATCTGTGTGGGATGTGTTTGTACCAGGCTGTTCTGGTGCTGTCCTGGCATATGTTCATCTTATTAGTGCTTACATGTGTATACGTGCTTTTAGCAGCCTTCCTCTTGCCAGCTTCAGTGAGCAGGGCCTGCCTCTGGCTCACAGCCTAACTTTGCTTTATGTTAGCAACGTCTTGACCATTACTTCAGTTCAAGCCTCAGGCCTCATACCGGGCCTCTGATACCAAGGGTTTATGTCTCCGGTCCTCATCTTATTACAGTAATCAAACATAAATAATATGTTGTAGCACAATGTACGTGTGTGCACAAAGATACGTCTACATTGGTCACACTTACTAAGTTTCTTCTCTTGTGTGAGATATCACCAGTTCCAGCAGTATTTCCCATGTCAGGGAAGTTTTTTTTAAGTCTGACTACTGGAGATATAGATACAACTCAACATTGCCAATCCCAAGCATTTAAAAATCATTAGACTGCATTTCCCCTAAAAAAATCACAGGATTATCTTAAAATGCATTTGATTTATTTTAAAAATGGGGACAATTTGTATTTACCCGTAGTGCCTTAGAGTACAGTTGGGTTAGATTTTCAAGCTTTCTTTGCAAACTAGTGGGGCTAGACACTTTTTTAAAATGAAAGCTAAGATTCTCCCATATTCCCATGACTCCTGGAGCTGGCACTGTAAGAAAAACACCAAATATCATAAGACTTATGCTAAAATCACAAGAGTTGTCATCACTGTAGACACATGGGTAACTAGATCTCTAGCAAAAAGAAGAACAGGAGTACTTGTGGCACCTTAGAGACTACCATTACAAAC